TTTTTTTTTTGTATTTAGTAGAGATGCGGTTTTACCATGTTAGTCAGGCTGGTCTCAAACTCCTGACCTTGGGTGATCCACCCACCTCCCAAAGTGCTGGGATTACAGGCATGAGCCACCGTGCCCAGCTGAAACAGCAAATTATATTTTAATCTCTGCAGATTTAAAATCTCCATATAATAAGAAGGTAAAAACTAGTTTCCCTTTGTCAGCAAGCCTATAGTTTTGTGGTTTGATTTTAAGGGAACAAAAAGGCCCATTTGCTGAAAACAACTGCTAGTTTCCTGTAATGCCTCAACTTTTAATCATTAGAACCATCCCTTTAGAGTAAGGCATACTATCTCCAGAGGCTTCATTAAATTGTAAATATGTCACCTGGAAAGGTAACATCTACAAACTGTTGGTGCCAACTGACACATAAACACAATTACTTCTCTAGTGTTTATCTTGGCAAAGAGCAGTCTCTTGCTGGGATAAGGGACAATCAAAGTAGATTTCTTTAAATATGAGGACAGACAGAAAGGTCAGGAAAAGAAGATATTTCCAAGTTATTTGTTCTTTTGTTATAGGTATCTGGGAACTCAGAGTTCTTGTTAAAATTATATAGTACTCACACACTCGCTGAATATTTTAAATTACTTTATGACATTTTTTAGGGAATGGAATTCATGAGTGCATCTCCTATACTTAGTTTCTATTTTACCACACTGTTCATAAAGTTCAAGGTGTGAAAGACAAAAACTATTCAGTGTAATGCAAAATAAGTTTATGTAAAAATATCTGTGTTAGTGTGAGCAGATGTGAAATGTTACAAATTTTTTTTGAGACAGGGTCTCACTATGTCGCTCAACCTCCACCTCCGGGGCCTAAGGGATCCTCCCACCTCAGCCTCCCAAGTAGCTGGAACTACAGGTGTGTGCCACCATTCCTGATTCATTTTATTTTTTTGTAGAGATGGGGTTCACCATGCTGCCCAGGCTGTAAATGTTTAAATTACTTTAATACCACTTATAGGTTTTAATAAATTTATAAAAAGAATATATTATCATCATTAGATATTTAGGTCATGTCTTGCAGAGGACATAGTAAGTAAAATTTAGATTCCATATATATACATAAGAATAAGGCAAAGGAGGTAGAGGATGAGACAAAAAGTTTTCTGATAAAAGAATTACTCTTTCATACTTAAGATTACTTTAAATAACTAAAAAAAGAATTATTTGCAAAAAATAAATAAATAAAAGCTGTAACATAAACCAAATCCAAATTACTTACCTAGCAAGTTGTGCTAGTTCTTTTTGGGTCAATGGGCTTCCTTGTTTACATAACAGATTTTTAAGCAAAAGTAGTCTTGTCTGAAAATAAATATTAAAAATGATCATTCCAGTCTAATTTAATATCAGAATCAATGATTCTTTTATTATTTTATTTTATTTTTTATTTTGAGACAGGGTCTTGTTCTGTTACCCAGGCTGGAGTACAGGGCACAATCATAGCTCACTATAGCCTCGACATCCTGGATTCAAGCAATCCTCCCATCTCAGCCTCCTGAGTAACTGGGACCAAAGGATGTGCCACCATGCCTGGTTAATTTCGATAAAAGTGTTTGTAGAGATAAGATCTCCCTATGTTGCCCAGGCTCGTCTTGAAATCCTGGTGCAAGCGATCCTCTCAGCTCAGCCTCCCAAAGTGTTGGGATTACAGGTGTGAGCCACCGCACCTGGCCAAAAAACAGTTTTATAGAGGCATGAATTCGTCCACAATGAACTTCACCCATTGTAAATGTATAATTCAATGACTTTTAATACATCTATAGAGTTGTGCAATCATCACCATAATCCAGCTTTGGAACACTTTTTAGGTCACTCATACCTGTTTGCAGTTAATCCTCATTCCCAGCCCTCACCCTGACAACCCACTGATCTGCTTTATGTTTCTGGAAATTTGTATTTTCTGCACATAAACAGAATCATATGATATGTGACATATATCTTGCTTCTTTCAATTATCATAAACTTAATATATGAAGTGAGTATGCAGCATGTATAATAGATAACAGTATCTATTAAAAGAATATAGAACATTTGTTTATTCACCAAAATGAACATTTAGATTCTTTGTAGGTTCTGGCTATTATTAATATTGCTGCTATAAAAATTCTTGTATAAGTCTTTGTGTAAACACACATTTTTTTTTCTCTTGGGTAAATTCTTAGGAGTGAAATTGCTGAGTTTGACAGTAAGCTTACATTTATCTTTTTAAGAAACCACTAAACTGTTTTCCAAAGTAGGTGTACCATGGATTGGAAGACTTAATATTGTCAAGATGGTAGTTCTTGTTTCTGCTTTAAAACAAAAAAAATTCAAACACAGATACATACCTCCTCATTTGGTAAAGACACATATACCCGTTTGATGAAACGCCTAAAAAAAAAAATCCAGCACTTTTAGAAATATAATTTTGAATTTAAAGCTGAAGCAGCAAATGACAGGAAAAAGCTTTTAAAGTATAATATTGAAGGCACTGGAATGCATTTTGGTAGTTATCTATGTAAAACTATTTTTGTTACTCTTTTAAAACTCTAGTTAATATTTAAAAATGCTTAATTCAGTATTTTTAGAACGAATCATTTATGTATGTATGTTTTTAATAGCAATAATGCTTTAAAACAAAATATCTGATATAAGTAGATCTCTGTTTTCTTGAATCTGAAAAAGTACTAAAATCAGCAAGGATAATAGAAACAGAAATGTAAACTTTATTAACAAACTAGGTAACATTTATGGAACTGGAATACATAAAGGTGAACTGCCTAGGACAGTGAAAATTATACTGAGAAAAGGAAGATGCACACAGGATCTGCTGTGGAAGATCATGGACATAACTGTCAGAACACAGTTTTCCCCCAAAAAGAGACAGCACACCCTGAAGGATAATAAAGCCAATCCTTCCACATTTAAACAAGCATATGAGGCCTGGCTCTGCAGACCATGTAAACCCTAATTGATAGCACAGGAATGGCAAGGAAGTGAGACTGAACAAAGAAACTCTAAGACAAATTATCTTTGAAAGAAGGCATCTAACAGTCTGGCGGGAAGACACTGTCTTGCAGTGACCAATATTTTTTAGTAGAAGAATAAATCAACTCTAACTCTTATTTACACACACATGTATTTCATTATCAGGTATGGCTTCACTGTAAGTGAAGGAGGCTGCATGTTAGTTTGGTGTACACATGGACTACTCAAAATACCTATCCCTTCCCCTACAATATCCTTCCAAAACTAGGTTTTCCAAGAAAACTCCTTTTATTCAAAGAAAAATAAGCAAAAGTGAAAAACAAGGACAGGGCTCATTAAAAAAAAAAACAAAAAAACAAAAAACCTGCTCCCAAAAGAGCAAACAAAACACAATAAACATAAACTAGATAAAATGAAGAACAAGCATGAGAAGATTTTGCCATAGAGCAAATTAAAATCATGACCAAATATCTTTCCATTAAGTAATTTACTTAAGAAGATTTTTTTTATCCTTAAGTTTTTTTTTTTATAGATATGGGGTTTTACCATGTTGGCAAGGCTGGTCTAGCACTCCTAGCCTCAAGTGATCTGACCTCCAAAGTACTGGGATTACAGGCGTGACCCATCATGATGCTCAACCAAAAAATTGTTTTCTTTTTTTTTTTGAGACAGACCTGTTGCCCAGGCTGAAGTACAGTGGTGCAATCTTGGCTCACTGCAACCTCTGCCTCCCAGTTCAAGCAATTCTCAGCCTTCCAAGTAGCTGGGATTACAGGTGCATGTGACTACGCCCAGCTAATTTTTTGTATTTTTAGTACAGACAGGGTTTCACTATGTTGGCCAGGCTGGTATCGAACTCTTGGTCTCAAGTGATTTGCCTGCCCAAAAAAATTGTTTTCTATGAAACAAGAGCCCAGTGAGATGTAAGAGCTTATGGAAAAAACATAGATGCTCAAAGAAATAAAACAGAAGATGAAAATTAGGGTAACAGAGGTCAGGAAAGTAATAAATAAAAAATCACCAAGGAAAGAAGGGTTACAAAACACATAGCAGAAAGGAGATAAGATACTAACCCAGTAAGAATAAAGGTAACAGGCTTGGGAAAACAGAACAAAACAAAAAGACCTAAGAGTTTAAAAGGAGTAAGAAGAAAATTACAGATACGGAATTTATGTGCAAAAGAAAACAGAAAAATGAACTAGGAAAAAAATTAAGATATCATTTAAAATAAATTTCCCATTTTAACGATATTGATTCTTCCAATCCATGAGCATGGAGTGTTTTTCCATTTATTTGTGTCATCTCTGATTTATTTTAGCAGTGCTTTACAGTTCTCCTTGTAGAGATTCTTTCACCTCCTTCATCAGCTGTATTCCTAGATATTTCATTTTCTTTTCTTTCTTTCTTTTTTTTTTTTTTTTTGAGATAGAGTCTTGCTCTGTCACAACCAGGCTGGAGTGCAATGGCATGATCTTGGCTCGCTGCATCCTCTGCCTCCTGGGTTCAAGCGATTCTTCTGCCTCAGCCTTCCGAGTAGCTGGGATTACAGGTGCTCGCCACCATACCCAGCTAATTTTTTGTATTTTTAGAGAAGAGGTTATACATAATATATATGTAGATGATGAGGTTATACATAATATATATGTAGATGATGAGGTTATATATAATATAGGTTATATATAATATAATATAGATGAGGTTATATATAATAGAGATGAGGTTATACCGTGTCGGTCAGGCTGGTCTCGAACTCATGACCTCAAGTGATCTGCCCGCCTTGGCCTCCTAAAGTGCTGGGATTATATAGGTGTGAGCCACCGTGCCCAGCCAACATTTCATTTTCTTTGTGGCTGTTGTAAATGGGATTGTGTTCTTGATTTAACTCTTAGCCTGAACATTATTAGTATATAGAAATGCTACTAATTTTTGTACACTAATTTTGTATCCTGAAACCTTGGTAAAATCATTTATCAGTTCTAGTAACCTTTTGGCGGCATTTCTAGGGTTTCTTCAGTATAGAATCATATTGCCAGTGAAAAGAGAGAGAGCATGATGACTTGTTTTCCTATGTGGATACCTTTTATTTCCCTCTCTTGCCTGATTGCTCTGTAAAATGACCATACTGCCCAAAGCAATTGACAGAGTCAGTGCTATTCTTGTCAAACTATCAATGTTATTTTTCACAAAAGTAGAAAAAATTATTCAAAAATTCATATGGAACCAAAAAAAGATCCAAAATAGCCAAAGCAATCCTAAGCAAAAAGAACAAAGCTGGAAGTATCACATTACCTGACTTTAAACTATACTATACAGTAGCCCAAACAGCATAATTCTGGTATAAAAACAGACACACAGGCCAAAGGAACAGGATAGAAAATTGAGAAATAAAGCCACACATCTATAACCCATCTGATCTTTGACAAGGCTGACAAAAAAAAAGCAATGGGGAAAAGACTCCCTATTTAACAAATGGTGTGGGGATTATTGGCTAGCAATATGTAGAAAAAATGAAACTGAACCCTTAGTTTTCACCATATACCCAAATTAACTCAAGACGGATTAAAGATTTAAATGTAAGATCTCAAAGTATAAAAATGCTAGAAGAAAACCAGAAAATACCCTTCTTGACATCAGCCTTGGAAAGAAATTTTGGCTCAACAACAATTGCAATAAAAATAAAAACTCACAAGTGGGACCTAATTAAACTAAAAAGCTTCTGCACAGCAAAAAGAACCATCAACAGAGTAAACAGACAACTTACAGAATTGCATCCAACAAAGGTCTGATATCCAGAATCTACAAGGAATTCAAACAATTGAACAAGCTAAAAACAACCCTATTAAAAAATGGGTAAAAAGGAAATGTACAGACATTTCTCAAAAGACATATGAGGGGACAAGAAACATGAAAAAATATGCATCATCGCTAATCATCAGAAAAATGCGAATCAAAATCATAATGAGATATCTCACACCAGTCAGAATGTCTATTACTATAACAGCAAAAAAAAATCCCATGTTGTCTAGAGATTGGTGTGAAAAAGTAAAAAAAAATATAACAGATGCTGGTGAGGCTGTGGAGCACATATACTTTGGTGGTAATGTACAGTTTAGTCATTGTGGAAAGCAGTTTGAAGATTTCTCTAAAAACAAAACAGATCTACCTTTGACCCTGTAATCCCATTATTGGGTATATACCCAAAGGAAAATAGATCATTATACCAAAAAGATATGCATTTCATGTTTATTGCACTATGCACAATAGCAGACATGGATTCAACTTAGGCGCCCGCCAATGGTGGACTGGATAAAGAAAACGTGGTACATACACACCATGGAATACTACACAGCCATTAAAAAGAATGAAATGATGTCCTTTGCAGCAACATAGATGGAGCTGGAGGCCTTAATACTAAGCAAATTAATGCAGAAACAGTAAACCAAATAGTATATGTTCTCATAAGTGGGAGCTAAAAATTGGGCACACATGGACACATGGGAACAATACACACTGTGGACTACTACATGGGAGAAGAAAGGAGTGAGGTGTGGGTTGAAAAGCTACCTACCACACACTATGCTCACTACCTGAGTGCAATATACCCATGTAACAAACCTGCACATGTACCCCCTGTATCTAAAAGTCAAAATTATCAATAAATTAATAAAACAAATTTCCCAAAACAAAGGAAGTTCCAAACTATCAATTTAAAGAAACATCAAATCTCCGGAAAAATAAATACAGATCAACATACTTTTCAAATAACCAGATTTTAATGGCTAATAATTCTATCTAGTAAAGAGAGAAAAAAATCAAGTTAATTTATAAATTTGAAAAAATCAGCTTGGATTCAGACTTTTACACTACTATAGCCAATCCTAGAAACGATGGAGCAATATTGTAAATTTCTTGGGGAAGTATGCCCAAGAATTTTATGCTGAGTCAAATTGTTCTTCCATTATGAAGGGAATAAATTTGCTCAAACACACAAGAACAGAAAACACATTTTCCATGAACTGTGCTTTGATCACCTTCTCAGGAAGCCCAATAAAAGAGGGTAAGAATCAATTTTGAAGTTTAAAGATAATTTAATGCAACCCAGAAGAACCGACCAATCTGCCTTAAACCTTTACTAGACTAGTACTCCTGATATCAAGCTGTTGACCTCAAAATCATCATTTAGTTGGTAACATAGAGGCTAGAGGATAGTATGGGAGGAAAATAGTGAATTGTCTTAAAACTGAGAATAAGGAAATAATATGTAAGATGAACATGAGTAAATATTGTCTGTAATAAATGCATGTATTTCCATATAAATCTCCCTACCTGAGAACAGCCTCATCAAGCTCTTGCGGCCTATTAGTTGCACCCATTACAAGTACTCTGTCATCTCCAGCAGACTGTACCTACAAACAAAGATATTTGTATTTTTAACCTTGGCCATTTAATAGAATATACATATATATACTAAAATGCTGCCACATAAAAAAATATCATAATCAACACTTACACCATCAAATTCTATTAGAAATTCAGTTTTTAGGCGTCTACTAGCATCGTGCTCCCCTTCTCTTCTTTCACACAAAAGGCTATCAACTTCATCTAGAGGAAATACAAGTATAAGACTTTAAAAACCAAGCTATGTGAGTCATCTGAGATCAATCTAGTTTAATACTTATTAATAGAGTGGGTCCTATTAAACTCATTAGATAGTCTTTAAGTTTGCCCTCTTTAAAACTTCTTCCTTCTGGATGTTTCCAATCATCTTTCCTATTTGCAGGGGGAAATTTTACAAATAGTCAACTAACTTAGTTGGAAAATATGTTCTTACCTATGAAAATTATAGAAGGTTGAAGTTCTCGAGCCACAGCAAAAAGAGCTCTCACCAATTTCTCTCCTTCTCCCACCTAAAACAAGGCATTATATTGTTATATACATAAAATGCAAGATTATTCCAGTTTTTTAAATTTTATGTTGAAAATCTAGCACACAGGAATTTAATTTCCCTTCCTTACAACAACCAAAGATTTGGTTTGAGAAAGGAGACAGTATTACTGAACTGTCCATTATAATTTTAGAAAATAGACCGTGATTTCATATAGCCTGGTAAGTGCTTTAAAAATTCATCTATTTTGTTTCACCCTGCATTCCTAAGACTTGAGAATGAAATAGCTATTCGGTCAAGGATCTAACTAGTGAGAAAAGGGAAGACTGTGAGAAAAGGGAAGACTAAGGGAGAGAAAGAGATGCTGTACATATTCCTTAAGCCCTAGATTACAAGGTATATTTATAGAAGCAAGTAAGTTGGAATGTGCTCTCCTAAACAAAACTTGCTCTATTAAGAACACCTTGAAAAGTCATTCTCACAACACCATCATCAATAAATATCAAAATTTCTTTCCTTTTTTTTTTTTTTGAAACAGGACTTTTGCTCTGTAGCCCAGTTTGGAGTGAAGTGATGCAATCTTGGCTCAATGTAAACTTGCCTCCTGGGTTCAAGTGATTCTCATGCCTCAGCCTCCCAAGTAGCTGGGATTACAGGTGCCCACCACCATGCCTGGCTAATGTTTGTATTTTTAGTAGAGGCAGGGTTTCCCCATGTTGGCCAGGCTGGTCTTGAACTCCTGACCTCAGGTGATCCACCTACCTCACCCTCCCAAAGTGCTGTGATTAGATGCAGGAGCCATGGTGCCCAGCCAATAAATATCAAAACATTTCCAGATAGTCCAGAAGGTCTATGAACACCCACTGAGACATTCCCAGATGCTGACAGCATACAAAGGCCATTTTATGCAGCAAAGTAATGAAAGAGTCATAAAGTCTGTGACAATCTACTATAAAAATGTTTCTGTCCTCTAGGTAGCATTTATTCTTTTTATTGAAGATTTAACTTAAAAACAAAAGAAATGGCCCAGATTTAGAATAATCAAAACAAATATTCTCAGAGCTGAAAGAAATCTCAAAAGATCACCTCTTATGACATTAACATTTACAGATGAAACAGGCCTAAAGTGATACTTTCTTAAGGCCAGTTCAGGATGTAAAAGTTAGGCTAGAGGCCGGGCACAGTGGATCACTCCTGTAATCCCAGTACTTGGGAGGCCAAGGCGGGTGGATCACCTGAGGTCAGGAGTTCAAAACTAGCTGGCCAACATGGCAAAACCCTATCTCTACTAAAAATGTAAAATCTAGCTGGGCGTGGCGGTGCATGACTGTAATCCCATCTACTTGAGTCTGAGGCAGGAGAATCGCTTGAACCCAGAAGGCAGAAGTTGCAGTGAGCTGAGATCACACCACTGCACTTCAGCCTGGGCGTAAGAGTGAGACCTTGTCTCAAGAAAAAAAAAAAGCTAGCTTAGAATCCCTATCTCCTAACTTCCACGACAATGATTTCCATTGTACCAAATGCATAATGTGGGAAAACGTGCTTTAACAACAACTTGAAGACCAGGCACGGTGACTCATGCCTGTAATCCTAGCACTTTGGGAGGCTGAGATGGGAGGATCATTAGAGCCCAGAAGTTTGAAACCAGCCCTGGCCTGGCAACATAGTCATACCTCATCACTACAACAATTTTTTTTTTTTTTTTTTTTGAGATAGTTTCTTATAGTCGCCCAGGCTAGAGTGCAGGGACACAATCTCAGCTCACTGCAACCTTGGCCTCCTGGGTTCAAGCAATTTTCCCACCTCAGTCTCCTGAATAGCTGGGATTACAGGCACCTGTCACCACGTCTCACTAATTTTTTGTAGTTTTAGTAGAGACAGGATTTCACTATGTCAGCCAGGCTGGTCTCAAACTCCTGACCTCATATTTGCCCACCTCAGCCTCCTACAGTGCTGGGATTACAGGTATAAGCCACTGCATCCACCTCCAAAAATTTTTTTGAAATTAGCTGGGCATGGTGGCATGCGCCTGTAGTACCAGCTACTTAGGATGATAAAGTGTGAGGATCACTTGAGCCCAGGAGATTGAGGCTGCAGTGAGCCATGCTCACACCACTGCACTCTAGCTTGGGCAAGAGAACTAGATCCTGTTTCAAAAAATAAATTAATAAATAGAATAATGACTTGTAAAATTTCAAATAGGAAGTAAAATGTGATCTAACTACTTTAAACATTGAGAACATTTTAAGTACAATGATTTATTAAAATATTTAAAGAAACTTATAAAATATTTGACTTAGCAGAGATAACACAAGAGAAATATTACTTTATTAACTTCTCTGATTTTTTTCCCTAATTTTTAAATCTAGTAGCATACTGATGCAATGAATGCCAAACTTTACAAACATGTTGAAACTGTGTGGAAAAACTTGTAAACTGGCAAGAACTATGCAAATGTTAGGTTTTTTATTAATGATCAATTAGAAGCAGGTTAATTAACAGTTTGAAAATATAAGAAAAATATAAAAATTAAATCTATTTGTGTGAAAAAGCACAACTACAACTACTTGCAACAATCTGGATAAATCTCACAAACAATGCTGATGAAAGAAACCAAACGCACATACAGAGAAAATCCTATGTGATTAGATTTATATAAAGTTCAAAGGCATGCTAGTTTTGTCTATGATGTTAGTAGTCTAGTGGTTTTGGGGGAGAGGAGTGAGTGGGTAAAGATGGTGGAGTGCCTGGAGGGATTTCAGGGTCACAGGTAACAATTTATTTCTTGACCTGGGTGGTGATTACGAAAGTATATTTGCTTTATGACTGAGCTGTATGCTTATGCTATACTTTTCCACCTGTAAGTTATTCAATAAACAAGGCTAAACAATAATACAACATGTTAAGATACATATGCAACTGATTTTTTGTGGAAACTAATCTAGATATTTTAATAATGCAAATGTTGTTCATGACCATGATGCAGTTCCTCCCAAAAGCTTTCTCAGGATATATCATAAGAGACAGAACATCAATATAATATTATCCAATGCTTTCTTTTTAAGTCTTCAAAGTCAGGTCACATCTGAGGTAAAATATTCAATTCTTATCATCCTCTGAGCATACTGACAAACTGGCATGAGACCACAGAAGGCAACTAAGATAATAATAACTATTCTGGGGGCTGGGGGAAGCAGATATAACATTAAGTTCCTATATATTTGAAAGGCTATCTCATAAAAGAAAACTAGAATTTTGTTAAATCAAGTACATTAAAACTTAGAAAAAGTACATTTTAGGTAAACATAAGAAAAAAATTATATTGGCTAGAACCGCCAAAATGATAGACTAGACATTTCAATTTTCTTTTTCTTTTCTCTTTTCTTTTTTTGAGATGGGTTCTCACTTTGTCCCAGGCTGGAGTGCAGTAGCATGATGTCTCAGCTCACAGCAAACTCCACCTCCCAGGCTCAAGTGATCCTCCCACATCAGTCTCCTGAGTAGCTGAGACCACAGGCACATAGCACCATGCCCAACTAATTATTTATATTTCTGGTAGAGACAGGGTTTTGCCATGTTGCCCAGCTTGGTCTCAAACTCCTGAGCCCAAGTGATCCACCTGCTTCAGCCTCCAAAGTGCTGGGATTATAGGCCTGTGCCACCACACCCAGCCTCAACTTTCTTAAAAGCAAACTTGCTTCAAGATATTAAGGCAGTATCAAAATTAAAGGTTAAGATCATTAATGTTATGTTGTTTCTGGAAACATGAAGATGAAGCAGAATACTCTTGAAACAAGTATGGATAAAAGAGAATGGTTGCTGTAATATTTTTAATGAAAGGCCACACTCATTGGAGCTCAAATCCTAGTTTCCCACTTCCTTATGAGTTCCTCAGCAGATCACTGAACTTCTCTGTAATTTCCTAAGAGATATGAGAATAATATCTATACATCATATGATTATTTATTCCACAAGTATTTATTCAGTACCTACTTACTGCCAGATACTGAAAATGGAAGTGAAGAGCACATGGCGATAGTCTCTGCTCGCATAGAGACCATCTTCTAGTGGTGGTGACAGTGATATCAAATACAACTAAAATAATCATATCAATGAATATGAATTTCAACTTCAATGAGTATGACAAATGAGGTACAAGTGATGCTAAGAGGATAATGGGGGGAGAGTCAGGGAAGGCTGTAACATTGCTGATGACTAAGTTAAATTGAGATAATTAGGGGGGCCCTAATCTACAGGGGAAATTTGGACACAGAGACAGATAAAAGGAGAATGCCATGTGAATATAAAAACAGAGATGAGAGGGATGCATCTACAAGCCAAGGAATGCAAAAGATTGCCAGCAAGCCACTAGAAGCTAGGAGAGAGGCATGCAACATACATTTTCCCTCACAGCCCCCAGAAGGAAATAATCTGCCAACATTTTGACTGATCTTGGGCTTCTAGCTTCCACAACTATGAGAAAATAAATTGCTGATGTTTAAGCCAACCAGTTTACGATATTTTATTAAATGGTTCCAGTAAACTAATACAATATTTGACAATACAAATGTACATTAACTTTCTACTCTGAAGATTGATATTAATCATATGTTAATAATAGATATAAAACTCCTAGAAAAATATTTTCATGAAATATTATTACCATTTATAGTTAACACAGTAACTTTTAGACAGTAACTTAAAATATGACAATATTGGAAACAGCACTTACATATTTTGAAGTTAAACTTGCAGCACTTATATTAAAGAAGGTTGCATTCGATTCTGCAGCTACTGCTTTAGCCTTTAAAAATCACAAGAGCAAATATTAAATTAGTTCATGTCTTGCTTTTAAAAGATAACCATATTTATCGATTTAAGTACTAGAAAAGATTCTCTAAAAATTTAAGCTATGGGCCGGGTGCTGTGGCTCACAACTGTAATCCCAGCACTTTGGGAGGCCGAGGCAGGCAGATCAGTTGAGGCCAAGAGTTTGAGATCAGCCTGGCCAACATGGTGAAACCCCGTCTCTACTAAAAATACAAAAATTAGTCAGGTGTGGTGGTGCACGCCTGTAATTCCAGCTACCTGGGAGGCTGAGGTGGCAGAATTACTTGAACCCAGGAGGGAGAGATGGCAGTGAGCCAAGATCAAGTGACTGTACTCCAGCTTGGGTGACAGAGCAAGACTCTGTCTAAAAAAAATTATTACAAAATAAAAATGTGGAGGGGGAGGGGCACAAAATAAATAAAAAATTAAAATGTAAGGTATGATACAATCCCCAAAATATGGCAATCAATGTGTTTCTTTCTTAGCAATGAGGACATGTTACAGAAAGAGCTGTGCTTTTTCTACTCTCTTCCTGAGAGATCATCAGAGAAATTTTTTTAAAAAAGAGTGTTATTCTCCTCTCTTCTTAGGTATACAAACATAACTGCTTTCAGAAAGACAAACATCTTAGGAAAAGCTACTCTTTCCCTATTAGTTTTTTCCATCCAGAAGAGCTATGCAGAGGAAAGAGGTATCCAGATCCTGATAAAAACTTCTAGCAAAAGAATACTTAAAAAAAAAAAAAAAAAAAAAAAAAGTTTTTGCATTGATAATGAAAAAAAGCTACAACATATTGATTATCTAAATAAAGTTGTTATGATAGTAGAAGCAAAAATCAAGGGTTAGAAAGACACTCAATATAGTAAGGTAAACTCTTCCAAGGTAAAAATTTTAATATTTAATTTTCAAAAAATGACAATTACACTGTCAAATTTAACCAACCAAAAACACACTACTGAGATAATACTCACGGTTTTCCATCTACTTCTATATTGAAAAGTAGTTGAAAAATTTAAAAGAAGTCTATCAGCCAGGTGCAGTGGCTCATGCCTGTAATCCTAGCACTTTGGGAGGCCCAGGTGAGAGGATTGTTTGAGGCCCAGAGTTTGAGACCAGCCTAGCCAATATGGCGAAATCCTGTCTCTACCAAAAATACATAAATTAGCCAGGTGTGGTGACATGTGCCCATAATCCCAGCTACTCAGGAGGGTGAGGCACAAAAATTGCTTGAACCCAGGAGGAGGAGGTTGTAGTGAGCTGAGATCACTCAAAAACAAACAAACAAACAAACAAAAATGTATCACAGCAGAGAGCAAATCATAAATAATAGACTCAGGGACGAGATGAAGTTTCGTTTTTCATGTTATCCCAAATATCTCAATAAAAAACTCAAATTTGAAGAGAACTCTTACCAGCATCGTCTTCCCATTCCCAGGTGGACCAAAGAGTAACAGCCCTCTGGCAGGAGCTCTAAGTCCTGTGAACAACTTAAAAATAAATACTTTAGTTTACAACTATGATTCTAGAGACATTTTAAGTACCATGTGTCATCTAAAAAGCATCCTTTTCAGTAGCATCCTCCCAAACAGAGCTGCCCACAACTTTAAAGGAAACACATAATCATAAATTAGTGTAATAATTAAAAACACTGGGTGTGGTGACTCACACCTATAATCCTAGCACTTTAGGGTGCCAAGACAGGAGGATCATGTGAGCCCAAGAGTTCAAGACCAGCCTGGGCAACATAGGGAGACTCTGCTTCTACAAAAAATTAAAAAAAAAAAAAAAAAAAAAGTAGCTGGGTATGCTGGATTGCCTGTGCTCCCAGCTACTCAGGAGGCTGAGGTGGGAGGATTACTTGAGCTTGGGAGGCCAAGGGTACAGCAAGCTTTGATCTCACCACTATACTCCAGCCTGGCTGACAGAGTGAGACCCAGTCTCAGAAAAATAAAAGGAAATAAAACCAACTCCTTTGTGATAATATTGAAAGCAGACTGCTTAAACAAGACAAATTGAACACAGCCATGTTTCTCTACTTAGAAATCATACCAAAATAATGCTAAATGAATAAAAAATATATAAATCTTCCAAACAAAAATAGAAAAGGAGGTAACACAATAAATTCCCATAAAATGGAGAACTGATAATGTGTGGTACATCATTTAGCAGAGCTTAAAACCTAAATATCTACTTGTGAAGGGATACCTAGATACAAGAAGCACGCTGATGTGAACAAAATTCTCAGGAAGGTTCAAGAATTGGAGGCATCAGGCACCACAGAAAGCAGTAGTAAGGCAGGCAGCCCAAAACAGAGGAATGGATTGAAAGTTGGTATGAGGAACTCCCCACAGGTATCAACCACCACCAAAGCAGGAGGCAGGAGTTTTATTCTATAAAAAAATAAGTTAGAGTCTCCAGACTTAGGGACACTAGGCATGACAAGAGTCACGGGTGGAGCCCCAGACTGAAAACACCTCACCTATACTTATTAAATAATAGTGAATGTGTACATACTTTTAAGTTGAATCATATGAAATAGCTAATATCCAACTTAAAAAAAAAGTCTATTTTTTTCAGTGATTTTACGTTTGCAGAAAATTGAGCAGAAAGTACAGAGTTCCCATATAACCTTTCATTCCTTTCCAATTTCCCTTAATCTGAATATCTTGTATTAGTGTAGTACTAATGAAAAATGATATATTATTAACTGAAGTCCATAGTTTACAGTAAAGTTCACTCATGTTTGACATTCTATGGGTTTTGACAAAGGTATAATGACATGTATCTACCATTAGATTATCATAAAGTACAGTTTCACTGCCCTAAACATCCACTGTGCTCCACCTATTCCTCTCTCCCTGTCTTCCTTGGCAACCACTGATCTATTTACTGTCTCCACAGTTTTGCCTTTTCCAAAACATCATATCGTCAGAATCCTACAGTATATAGTCTCTTCAGATTGGCTTCTTTCATTTAGCAATATGCATTTATGGTTCCTCCATGTTTTTTTCTGGCTTGACAGATCATTTTTTTAATTGCTGAATAATACTCCATTACACATATATAACAGAGTCTGTTTATCCATTCACCTACTTACGGATGGCTTGGTTGCTTCCAAATTTTGGCAACTATGAATAATGCTGCTAGAAACATTCACGTGCAGGTTTTTGAGTGGATGTACATTTTAAACTTATTTGGGTAAACACCAAGGAGTAAGACTGCTGGACCATATGGTAAGAGTTTTGTAAGAAACTGTCAAACTGTCTTTAGTTTTGTAAAAAACTGTCAAACTATCTCCCAAAATGGTTCTGCTATTTTAGATTTCCATCAGCAATGAATGAAAGTTTCTGCTGCACCAAATTCCCTGCCAGAATTTGGTATTGTCAGTGTTTTAGATTTTAGCCATTCTAATAGAGGTACAGGGTAACTTACTGTTGTTTTAATGTGCAATTTCCCCAATGACATGATGTTGAGCATATATTCATATCCTTGTTTGTCATTTATCTACCTTCCTTGGTGAGGAGGTGTCTGTTCAGATATTTTGCCCATTTATTAACTGGGTTGTATCTTTTCTTATTGTTGAGTTTTAAAAGTTCTTTGTATATTCTGGATACTGGTCCTTTATCAGATAATGAATTTTGTAAAGTCTCCCACTCTGCTGCTTGTCTTTTCGTTCTCTTAACGGCATCTTACAGAGAACAGTTTTTTTTGTTTGTTTGTTTTTATTTTCTGGAGATGGCGTCTTGCTGTCGCCAGGCTGGCGTGCAGTGCTGCAATCTCGGCTCACTGCAACCTCCGCCTCCTAGGTTCAAGCGATTCTTCCGCCTCAGCCTCCCGAGTAGCTGGGACCACAGGCTTGCGCCACCACACCCAGCTAATTTTTGTATTTTTAGTAGAGACGAGGTTTCACCATGTTGGCCAAGATGGTCTCAATCTCTTGACCTTGTGATCCGCCCACCGCAGCCTCCCAAAGTGCTGGGATTATAGACGTGAGCCACCGCGCCCGGCCAGAGCAGAAGTTTTTAATTCAAAGTTCAATGTGTTTATTTTTTTCTTTCAAGGATCATGTTTTGGTATTGTACCTGGGAAGTCACTGCCAAACCAAACATTTTTCTCCTATGCTATCCTCTAGAAGTTTCAGTTCACATGTTACATTCAGGTCTGTGATCCATTTAAGTTAACTTTTGTGAAAGTTGTCAGGTCTGTGTCTAGATTAATTTTTTTTTTAATTTTTTTTTTGAGACAGAATCTTGCCCTATTGCCTAAGCTGGAGTGCAATGGTGCGATCTCGACTCATTGTGACCTCTGCCTCCTGTGTTCAAGCAATTCTCCTGCCGCAGCATTCCGAGTAGCTGGGATTACAAGCATGTGCCACTATACCCAAATAATTTTTTGTATCTTTAGTAGAGATGGGGTTTCACCATGTTGGCCAGGCTGGTCTCAAACTCTTGACCTCGTGATCCACCCACCTCAGAATCCCAAAGTGCTGGGATTAGCTGGTGAGCCACCACGCCGGGCCATCTAGATTAATTTTTTTGCATGTGGATGTCCAGTTTTCCTATACCATTTGTTGAAAAAGCTATCTTTTCTCTATTGAATTGTCTTGTTCCTCTGCCTAGGATCAGCTGACTTTACCTATGTGGGTCGATTTCTAGGCTCTCTGTTCAGTTCTATTGATTTGTCTATTCTTTTGCCAATGACACGCTGTCTTGATTAACATAGCTTTATAGTAAGTCTTGAAGTTGGGTAGTTTCAGTTCTCTTTCTTCTTCAATAATATATTGGCTGCTTTGGATCTTTTGCCTTTTCATATAAACTTTAATTAGTTTGTCAGTATCCACAAAATAACTTTCTGGGTTTTGATTGGGACTGCACTGAATCTATATATAAACTTGGGAAGAACTGACATCTCAATAATATTTAGTCTCCCTATCTATTTACTTGGAATATCTCTTAATTTACTTAGCTCTTTGATTTCTTTCATGAGTGTTATAATTTTTCTCATGTAGACCTTCTACAACAAACTTTGTTAGAATTTTTTTTTTGAGACAGAGTTTCATTCTTGTTGCTCAAGCTAGAGTGCAATGGCGCCATCTCAGCTCACTGCAACCTCCACCTCCCAGATTCAAGCACTTCTCCTGCCTCAGTCTCCCAAGTAGCTGGGATTACAGGCACATGCCACCATGCCCGGCTAATCTTTCTTTTGTATTTTTAGTAGAGATGGGGTTTCACTCTGTTGGCCAGGCTGGTCTTGAACTCCTGACCCTGGGTGATCCACCCACCTTGCCCTCCCAAAGGGGTGGGATTACAGGCAAGAGCCACCACGACTGGCCACTTTGTTAGAATTATACTTAAGTATTTCATTTTATTAGTGTTAACATGAATGGTATTGTATTTTAATTTCAAATTCCAGTTGTTCACTGCTGGCATATGAAAAAGCAATTGACTATTGTATATTAACTTTGTATTCTACACCTTGTCATAATCACTTATTAGTTCTTGGAGCCCTTTTTTTTTTGGTTCTTTGGGATTTTCTATATATACAATTATGTTACCTGCAAACAAAGATATTCATCTTTTTAAAAATACATATATATATAGATGGGGCCTCACTACGTTGTCCTGGCTGGTCTCGAATTCCTGGGCTCAAGCAATCTTCCTGCCTTGGCCTCTGAAAGTGCTGGGATTATAGGTGTGAGCCACCATACTGAGCCTTCAACTGTTTTTGACCTATAAAAACAGTAATTTCAGGTCAGGTGCAGTGACTCATGCCTGTAATCCCAGCACTTTGGAGGGGCTGAGGCAGGTGGAATCACCTGAGGTAAGGAGTTTGAGACTAGCCTGGCCAACATGGCAAAACCCCATCTCTTACTAAAAATACAAAAATTACCCAAGTGTGGTGGCATGTGCCTCTAATCCCAGCTACTTGGGAGGCTAAGGCATGAGAATTGCTTGAACCTGGGAGGCAGAGGTTGCAGTGAGCCAAAATCATGCCAAGGCACTCCAGCCTGGACAATACAGTGAGACTCTGTCTCAAAACAAACAAAACAAAACAAAACCTAGCAATTTTCACATGGCTCAACCTAACAGAAAACAAAGTCCTCTCCTCCCAACCATTTTCTGGAACACCAATAGTCAAACTTGTATTCTCCAAGCAAGAGACTAGAAAATTCTTTTCTAGAGAAGCTAAATAACCCCATAAATGACAGCTACAGTCATTTGGAGAAACCTAAATAAACAGTAGGTTTGCTGCTTGATCATCCTGTGATTAATGGGCTCTCACTAGCATCAATCTTTACTTATTTACAGCACAGAGTCCTAATCAACTTTTTTATTCCCTGGTAATATAAGTGGACAACCATAATAACCATACAACTGAGGGAACCTTCCAACATGAAAAGAGCTTAAGGCAAAAAGAAAAAAGGAGGAATCTGGAAGAAACAGATAATATGGTAAACAGAAGAAAACTTCACAAGAGCTCTTAGAGA